TAAGTGAAGTAAGTCAGAAAGAGGAAAAAAATACCTATATTATCTCTCATATGTGGAATCTAAAAAAAGAACACAGAAATGAACTCATTTACAAAACAGAAACACTCACAGACAGAAAACAAACTAATGGTTACCAGTGGGGAAAGGGGGTGGGAAGGGATAAACAGGGAGTTTGAGTTTGCAGATATTAACTACTATATATAAAATACATAAACAACAAGTTTCTTCTGTATAGCATAGGGAACTATATTCAATATCTTATAGTAACCTATAATGAAAAAGAATTTGACAGTGAATATATGTATGTATATGTATGGCTGAAACATTATGCTGTACACCAGAAATTGACACATTGTAAAGTGACCATACTACAATTAAAAAAAAGAAAAATGGCTGATGGAATGGCAGGTAGAAAAAAGATAAGAGTTACATGGTAAATTTAAAGCATATCAATAGTCACATTAAAAACCACAATTAAAAGGCAGAGATTGTCAAATTACATTTAAAAAACAGCACCCAGTATATGATGCCTACTAGAAATCCACTTTAAATACACAGACACAAATGAGTTAAAAATAAAGGAAAAGATATGCCATGCTATAAGTAGCCAACAGAAACCTGAAGAGGTTATGTTCATATTACACAAAGTAGATTACAGAGTAAAGAATATGACCATAGGAAAAATAGAATCATTTCATAATGATAAAGGGGTCAACTTACGAAGAAAAGATAATACCATTAAATGTTTACACAACTAATAGTAGAAATTCAAAAACCTGAAGCAAAAAAGTGATAGAACTGAAACAATAGGGAAAAAATCAAATTTATAGTGGTGACTTCAAATCTCTCTAATAATTGATAGAACAAGCAGGTAGATAAATCAATGATGATAAATGAGACTCAAATGACACTACCAGCCCAACTGTCCACCGAACAACAGCAGAATACACATTCTTCTCAAGAGCACACAGACCATTTACCGAGACAGACCATATTCTGGGTTATAAAATAAGTGTCAATATGTTTAAAAGGATTCTCAAATCATACAAAGTATACTCTGGTAACAGTGAAATGAAGTTAGAAATCAATAAATAACAGGACGATACCCCTAAAATCCCAAGTATACAGAAACTAAATAAAACATTTTTAAATAAACCTATGGGTCAAGGAAAAAAATCAAAACAGAAATTTTAAAAGAATCAAATTAATAAAAATGTTAACAGAACACATTGTGATTTGTAGAATGCTGCTAAGAAAGTACTTATGGGGAGAATTTAAAGCATTAAAAGGCATATTAGAAAAGAAAAAAAGGTCTCAGATCAGCTTCCATCCCGAGACGCTCAAAACACAAAAGCAAATTAAAACTAAAGTAAGCAGAGGGAAAAAAATAATACATATAAGAGCACAGATCAATTAAATTGAAAATAGAAAAACAGTAACAGAGAAAAATCAACAAAACCAAAGGCTGGTTCTTTGAGACTATCAATAAAACTGATATCCATCTCACCAGACTGATTAGGAAAAAAAAGCAAAAGTAATCAGTATCAGCAGGGATAGAGTGGTCATCATTGCAGAATCTACAGACAGTAAAAACGTAAGAGACCATTATGAACCAATTTATTCCAATAAATTTGACGACACAGATGAAATAGAGTACTTGAAAGACACAAATTATCAAAGTCTACTCAAGGAAGAAAAATAGATAACCTGAAAAATACTTTATCTAATAAATAAATTGAATTTGTAGTTAAGAGCCTTCAGCAAAGAAAAGTAAAAGTGCAAGCCCAGACTTCTTCATTGGTGAATACTACCAATTACTTACGGGAGAAACAATACCAACTCCACACATAGTCTTAGAGAAAACTGAAGACTGTGAAATACTTGCCCATTCATTCTATGAGGCTAACAATACCCTGATTCTGAAACTTAAAAAAAAAAAGAGACATTACAAGAAAACCATAGACCTTATAGAACATGAAATACCAAATTCCTAACTAAATTTTGCAAGTCAATTCCAATGATAAAAGAATAATATATCACAACCAAGTGGGGTTTATCCCAAGAAGGCAAAGTTGATTTAACACTTGAAAATCAATGTATTTCTATTAAGAATCTAAATGAGAAAAACCATATACCATTATAACAGATGTAGGAAAAGCATTTTCCCAAACCCTTAATTCTTTATGATCATGGATCTCAGCCACATATCACAAATAAAAGAGCATTTCCTCAACCAGAGGGCATACATGAAAAATTGTCACCATAAATACTTCATGTTGAAAAAAATAACTGCATCCCCCCTCCCCTACCCAACATTAGAAACTAGGCAAAGATGTCTGCTCTCATTGCTTCTGTTCAACACTGTACTGAAGGTTCTAGGCAGTGCAATAAGATAGGTAAGACTGACCACATGACTTGTTGGCAAGGATGTGGAACAAATGGAACTCTTACACACTGGTGGCTGAAAAGTAAAATGGTTTACCATTTTGGACAACAGTTTGGAAGTTCCTGGAAAAGGTACACACAGCTAAGGTATGGCACAGCCACTGTACTCCTTAGTATTTATCCACACAGAGAATTATAGATGAATATTCACAGCAGCATTTTTTAATACCTAAAAACTTAGAACATTTCAAATACCCATCAACGGGTGAATGGATAAGTAAATTCAAGTATATACACACAATGGAACACCATGTAGCAATGAAAAGGAATAAAATACTAATAAACATAATCTTACTGAATCTAAAAAATATGTATCTCTACCTATTTATATATATTTTCCTAGAAAAACAGGTACAATACTGAAAGAAAATAGCCAGTCAAAAATTACTATATGCTGTATTTTTCCATTTATATAAATTCTAGAAAATGTAACCTTATCCAAAGTAGAGAAAACATTAATGATTGCCTGGGGATGGGGAGAGATGAATAGATTAAAAGAAGCCTAAAGAACATTTGTGGGTGATGAACATGTTTATTAGCTTGATTGTGATGATGATTCATGTATGTTTACGTGTATAAGGATTTCATCCACTTCCTCAATGTGATGAAAAGTATCTACAAAAAACCTTCATCCAACATCATGCTTAGTGGTCAAATATCAGTGTTCTTCCCTAAGCAAAAAATCATGAAAAGCAGGCAAAGATTACCACTTTTACTACTTCTATTTAATATTGTACTGAAAATTTTAGCCATTGTAATAAGGCAAAGGGAGGAATAAAGGAAGGGAGGGAGGAAAGAATAGAGAAAATAAAAGGAGGGAAAGAGAAATAAAGGAAGGGAGAAAGGCAGAAAAGAAGGGAAGAAGGAAAGAAAGAAGAAAAGAAGGAAATTAGTTAAAGAAGGGCATGAGGATCAGACAGACAGACATAAAACCATATCTCTATTTGCAGATACCATACTGATTATTTAACATATTCTCAGGAATCTACCCTAAAAGTACTAGAACTAAATAGTGATTTTGGCTAGATTATAGGATATAAGATAAGTATTTCAAATTCAATTGTATTTTTATATACCAGTAGAAAATACCTGGAAAATGAAATTAAAAATCAGTTCTATTTACAATCATATAAGGAAAGATTGAAGACTTGGTAATAAGTTCATCAAAGGATGTATAAGACTTCTACACTGAAAACTATAAAACATTACTGAGAGAAATTAAATACCTAAGTAAACGGAAAGATATACCATGTTCATTAACTGAAATACTTACTATTGTTACAGTGTTATTTCTCCACACAACAAACTACAATCCCAATCATAATTCTAGCAGGCTTTTTGGAGCAAGTGAGAAGCCAATTCTAAAATGTATACAGAAATCCAAAAGGTCTAGAATTTCCAGAACAGTCTTGAAAAAACTCACAATGTTAGAAAACTACACTACCTGACTTTAAGACTCAGTATAAATCTACAGTAATTAAAACAATGTGGTACTGGCACAGGGAACAGCAAACAGATCAGTGGAATGGACTACAGCAGCAAGACCTGCACTTATACCTGTCATTTGATTTTCAACAAGGGAAGCGATGAAATCCAGTGGGGAAAGGAAAAGCTTTTCATCAAATAGTCTTGGAATAACTCTACATCTATATGAAAAAATGAACCTAAACTCCTTTATGACACCATAACCAAATATTAACTTGAGATGGGTCATTAATCCTAAACATAAAAGCTAAAACTATAAAGGTTTTTATAGAAAAACAGGAGAACATCTTCATGACGTGGTAGTAGGCAAAATTTCTTAGGTCACACAATACAATAAACATGAAAGAAAAAACTGATCATGTGGACTTCAAATTTAAAAACTTCGGCCTATTAGACACCACTGAGAAAACGAATAAGCAAGGTGCAAACTGGGAGAAAACACTCCTAAGAACAGAACATGTATCTGTCAAAAGATTAGTATCCAGGATGTACAAGAACTCAAATAATAATAAAAAAGTGCAGTAAAAAAGTGGATGAAATATTTAAACAGGTAATTCACAAAAATACATATGAATGACCATTAAGCACATGGAAAAGTGCTCAACACCACTGGTTATTAGGAGAATACAAATAAAAACTATCGTGAGATACCACTACATGCCCATTGAAATAACTAAAATATGTCTTGATATATGAATTTGTAGTGGTACCAGTCTGCCAAGTTGTGTGATTTTCATCCAGCAGTGTTATGCAACTCCACTTTTAAGAGTGGAGAAACTAGGTGTTTCAATCTAATCAAATAAATAGGATGAGAGGGCAAGAGCCTTGAACATACTGACAAAGGGGTTGATCAGGGGTTTTAGGCTAGATAGAGAAGGAAGTAAACAGGATACTGGGGGAAATGTGGGGTCAGAGATTTTGATGGTATTGAACTATCAAATTTATGTACATGACATGTTAAAATGTTAATTTTGCTTTCATTAGTCTATTGTGTTTTTCCATAGAGCATGCAACTTCTACTCCATGTGATAAGAATCAAGAAAATAATTATAGAAAACAAGTTTTAATACCTTCAATGCTGTATATTTGTACTTTTTCCTCAGGCACAGTGACTGCTTCCCACGGATGATCCTTAAATTTAAAATTTTATATTTAATTATAAATAACAATTTATTTCTGTTTTAAAGCTTCTTAAAACACCATTTTAAGTTATACAAATAATAAAGTTTTTTTACTTAGTATCACTAAGTAATCAGCTGATACAACACATTTCTTGCTCCATAAATTGACTGTAGAATACATTATACTCATCATATTTAATCTACTTATTTACTCTTAGAAGGAAATGATAGTATTGACTACTTTTATGGTTTCCTATTCTTGATCAAAAAAAGAATGACAATCTATTAATATGGCAGATATCCTTTAAAAAATATTACCAAATCCTGTCATTTCTTCCTTTGAAATGTTTTGTGAAATCATAATCATCCTCCCATTCTCACTCATTCATTGTCTTTAGAGTCAAACATTGAATGCACGTGAATAATAACCTAAAATGTTTTCCCCTTCCAAGTAGTTTCACTGAAACTTTGTATAAATGAATAAAAGAATATGAATTCACACAAAAAAGTCACAGTAAAAGTCAGAACTATTTCTAAAAGATGGGATCCTAAAATCTTCCAATAATCTTATGAGGAAAGTAGATCCAATTCTTTCCCTATTTAATAACCACTCCTTCTATGGAAATTCCCCTAAATTCTCAATCTCTTCCCTAAATTCCTGCACTTATTTGCCTTAATTGAAACCAGTCTATACTTGGAGGGCACCACTACTGTTGTAATTACAGCCATCTCCAGTTAAGATGCTAGTTCTCCCAGACCTTACACCACATGAGGAAAGGTTGGTATCCCATTCTCTCCCCTGTGCTTTGAGCAGCTGCATATTTCTCTGTATGTAAAACAAAAACAAACAAACAAAAAAACCCTGCTCCTTTGCTGCACATGCCAGCTGGCATACATACCTACTGGTTGTTATCATCTACTAACTTCAAACTGGCTTTTCCTCATATATGGAGGCACCTGGCTCAAAGGCTTCCTTTTTTTTTTAAGTCTACATTATATAAATTTTCAAACAGATTATTTTTAGATGGGAATCATAGTATAACAAATCCAAAATATGCCCTTACCCAGCTTCAGTAGTTACCAATATATTGTGCCCATTTGTCTCACCCTCACTCCCTAATCTCCCCCATTACATTCTCTTCATCTTGACCTCAATTTTGTATTCAACCTGTCACCCCAACCATCAATTTTAAAAAGCTCTTTTCCTTAAAAATAGTACCTATACAAAAACCACTCCCTTGAATCCACAACTCACTGTAGCTACTGTGTTCTTTTTCCCTTCACTTGTTGCCTTTACTTCCTTTACAAATATTTCAGCTTTCCAGGAATGCCTAAATCCTCATCACTTCAGTGAAACTGCTCTTTCATGGATCACTAGTTATTTTATTTAACATTTGTGTTGATCATTTCTTCTCATACAAACACCCTTCCTTTGCCTTCTATGACATTCTTTTAATTTCTTCTTTTTTTGGCTGGTTCATCCTTCAGGCTAGAGTCTCTTCTACCTATCGTATACAAATTTGCGTTCTTCACAGTTCTGTAGACACTCATTAGATTCCATGTTTTATTTACCATCTATATACAGAGAGCTTCTAAATCTCCACGTATGGCGTAGTTCTCTCTCCTGAACTTCCGACCAATATATCCAACTACCTACAAGATATTTTCGGTTGAATATCCCACAAGCACTTCCAAATCAAAACGTTCAAAGTTGACCTCATGCTCTTTCCCCTACAAAACTTATCCTCCTGACAGCATCCCCAACCATCCAATTACCCAAGTTTTATTAATCTTTCCTCTTTTCACTACAACAAATCGCCAAGTCTGCTCAATTCTACCTCCTCTCAAGTTTGTATGGAATCCATCCGTTTCCATCCATCCCACTGTCACTTTCCAAAACTGTGCCACTGTGATTTCTCTCACCTGGATTATCGGGAAAGTCTCCTAACTGCCTCTGGTCTTTTCCCTTCTTAATGCATTCTCCCCATCAGGAGTATCTTTTATATGAATGTGATACTTTTTGGCTCCACGCTGCTTTATTTCTTTCCAATCTCCTTTGAACTCGATGCACTAACCATACCATGTATCTTTCAGTTCTTTGAGTATTCAATTTATTCGTTCTTAAAATAAATATAAGCCCTTGAATAGCTATAAGTAAGAAAGACAGGTCCCTGATTTAATGAATCTCAAGTTCTGTGGTGGGGTGGGGGGAGAACAGACAAAAATCAACAGACAAACAGATGGATTTTATGTAGTAATAACTACTACAAAAGAAATAAAACAGGACAATGTGATATAATATGGCTGGGTGGCTAATTTAGGTTGAGGTGCCAGATAATACCTCTGTGAGGCAATATTTATGGTGAAATCTAAAAGGGAAGCAACTAAGATGCAAAGATCTGGAGATTTCTAGGCAGAAGAACCAGCAAATACAAAGACCTAAAATGAGTATGATCTGTGCTAAAGGAAAAGAAAAAAAAATGAATGTGGCTAGAACACAGTAAGTATAGAGAATGGTCTGAGATTATCAGAGAAATAGCCAGAAGGCAGGTCATAAAGGCCCTTGTATACCATGTTAAATAGACAAAGGAAGGGTTTTAAACATAGGAGAATGGCTTTCAGGAGAGTACTGCTGCTATAGAAACCCAGAAGAGAGAGGAGTTTAAATACTTCCATGGGAAGAAGAATCTCCCAGCATCCAGGATCAGTGTCTGGAATGTAGGAGGCATTTAATAATTATAAATGCATTTTATACTATCCCTATCAAGTATAATACTACAGTTATTTTTTTTATCTGAATCATCCATTAGACCAAGTGAGTGAAGTCAGGAACCATATCAATCCTATTCTATCCTCTTCTCCCAAAATAAAAGTCCAGTTCCTGAAGAAAATCCAGTTAAAAATACTTCTACAAACCCTGCAGGAAGAAATACACTATTGAAAACTGTCAATGCCTTCAAGAAGTAGTCCTAGTATTTGAAACTCAATTTTAATTAAACATTCTAAGTACTCTAAAATAATAAGAAAGAAAGATATGTGGAAATCCGAAGAGGCATTTAGTTAATGTCCATCTATTAAGAGTTCACCTGGAACAAAAAGCAGTATTTTACAAGAGGCAGACCAAAAAGACTTAAAGCCTCATTATGTTATCAGCAGCCACAATTAGATTAGTAAATGCAGACCAATTCTTACAAAGATCTTGGCAAACTGACTATACAGTTTGAGCTAGAAGTATGCCAATGAACCAAAGAGTAAATGGTAGCTATTTGGACAGTGGCTCAAGAATTTTCCTTAGGTTAAAAAAAATTCAATAGAAAATATACCAACCATTGGTTGGAGAGTTTAAACATAGTTACAATATAGCACAGAAAGAAAAGAACTAAAATTCACTTCTAAATACTACCATAAGAATCAATCCCTTACTATTTTCAAACAGAATAGTCTATGAATGAGTAAGTTAAGACCACTTGTCATTATCTACTGATGTTATTTTTAACGAAGTGCCTCTGTATTTGACTGACTGTTGTCTTTTTTAGATTCAATTCACTTTATTCATGTGAATGTTAAATTTTGTCTGTCATTGACACGTAATTTATTTCCGAAAAGCTTATATTAAATTTCACCATTTTTTCTGTTGTAATAAAACATCAGAAATCATTTTCATTTCTAATTAGCTTGACAGGTTACCATGCTAATCAAAACTACCAGAACACTGAAATCTATTAAAATAGCTAGAAAATAAATACACAAAGAAATCCATATTCTTAAACTGAATTATAACATTTTATATATACATATACATACATATAAAACGGTACAGAGGGAATAAAGCTTACATCATTATCTCCAGCAATGTAGAATGATAGAGTCTGGCTCCCAAGATTAAAATCTATCCAAAATTCCTCAAGTTTCTCATCTGATGGTATTTGCAGCTAATAAAATAAACATATAAAATCAGACTATACTATGCCTTTAAAGTGACAACAGAAAATCATGACGTTATATTCATGGCTGAGTTGTTTTAAATAAGAGCACAGCTGGAAGGAAGGGAAGGGAGGATAAGAACAGACAAGCACAGCACTTAAATTAATTTAGAAAGAATCAAAAGAAATGCTGCTTAACATTTTACACAGAAATCAGCTAGCTCCAAGAAATCACAAATATTCTAAGTGTAAATAAATGTTCAAATGTTTTCATATATTCATGAACAATAAACAATAATGGGTGTGACTAAGGAAATCCAAGAAAATTTTGAAGTACATCCTTTATATTTCACTTTCCTTGGCTACAAACAGGCCATTTTATAAACTATCACTTAGGTACAAAATACTAGATCAGCTGTATTTGTGATCTAATTATGACTATTGTTAATGTTCTTGTCAATTTGTAACCTGTTATTCACTTGATCCTTGCACCTAAATTCATCTAACAACTAAAACAACATATATTAAATTTAAAACTTACCTCATGTTTATCAAGAAATGCTGATAAACAAGGGAATGTAAAGACCCTGAAATAAGAAGTAGTTTGAGTTACAGGAAAAAATAAGCCTCCACAGTATCATCTTGACTACCTATACGAATCATCCCTAGGATCAAAAGGAAATCAGGCAGTAGTGATAACAATTTAAATAAAATCTTATTTCCTTCTTTATTCCTTTTTAAAGTAAGAGCTTAATGGAAATTTGTTTCTGAAAGAAATACATTATTTCGAGGATACCATTCAACCTACCATTGTGACTAAAGTGACTGTACCAAATTACGTTTTGTGTGTTCGACTATGAGCAGAGATTCCTAATTTAGCTTATACTACTAATATAATGGAAATTCCCATAGGATTAGATGGGAAAAGAGAAGTAGAAATGAGTAATAATTCTAATAAAATGGCTGAATTCATTGAATACTTTTTTAGTCAGATACTATGATAAGTACTTAGCATACAACCATCTCATTTAATCCTCATGACAAACACATGAGGGTAGGTATTACTAGTATTCTTAATTTATGACAAGGCAAGTAAGGTCAAATAACTTGTCCAACATTAGAATAGGCAGAAGGAAACCTATTATTTAAATTCAAATAGTATGTCTCCTTGCACTTAACCCTCACCCTATCTTTCCTTAGTAGGTAAAGTAAATGTGAACTCATTAATCCAACGTGTACTGAGCATCTATAAGGTGCCAGGCACTGCACTATAAAAATTCTGTTCTGTCACTGTCAAAAGTGATAAAACTTTACATTACCCATCCTTCCATGACCATTCCTGAGCCTAAATAGTCTCAGAGAGACTTTTACAGTATGTTAAATATAAAAGATGATTTATGTTGGCCATATATTTTTATTCTAGAATTTAGATGAAGGAGGTAGCTCAAGTAATATTTATACCTAGATTTTTATTTTTCCTTAAACACTAAATTTATAATAATGTATATGTAATTCTGAAATGCAGTAAACCAATTTTAGACAAAGTTATTAACATAAAAATGTATTTTTTCTTCTAAAAAGTATAAAGCAAAATAAGACAGTGGAAGATTATTTCAGCCTACCAGTGTGTGCTCTCTCTTTAGCTCTATTTCTTTATAATTTAATGGTTGTATTCTATATTAAGTTTACCTTCTCTTATCGCCAAGCATGCCATTTACGAGGTTAAGAAATATCCTACAATCCTAATTTAAAAAAAGAGAGAGCTTTTAAAAAATGTAGTAATTAAAAAAAACTTAATTAATTTGTTATTTTTATACTACTTACTGTTTCAAATTCAGAGTCTTTAATTTCTTTAAATGCATTAGCAATAAAATCCATTGAAAACCACTGACACGCCAGTTCTTGCCTTTGTTTTTCCGTGGTCATTCTACATAAAGCTTCTATGATACCTACTTGTAGGTCATAATCTTTTAAAAAAAAAGTGAGTGTATTATTTCAAATTATGAAAATTAAGGGTTTACAAAAGTCAATATATTTTATAAGGTGTTAGAACAAGCAAGAGAAATAAGGAACATGTTAGTGTAATTTACTCATCTTTTGCCATTTTCTTCATATAGATTAGAGATATCTTACCATTACAGGAAAGAATACAGCCCAAGTCACAAAGCAAGTTTACTAATAGAAGCAAGGAGTAAAAAAAAAATCCTAAGGATAGTTAAAAGAAACTCCTAAATGTTCAAAGATTCCGCCATTCCACTATTATAAAAGTTGTCAACTGCAAAATAACTCACTCAAAATCTACAAATCACAGGTAATCTTTGCTTTCCTTTTGCATAACATGATGTTTACAGTTATTCTAAAGTACTTTAAACCAGTGGTTTATTCTATATGTAAATCACTACAACAAAATTTTTTCTTATGAAACTTAGGAAAAAAAATTGGAGTTCTTTTAATAAAAACATTGTTCACAAATATATCAATTCCAAGAATATTAAATCTCCTAATTTCATAAAATACATTTGAGAAATTTCTTAGCAAAAGGAACTCAAGTCTATTGGCAAATTGATTTATTATTCACAAACCTACCATTAGACACAAATTATATCTGACATCTCCTATTATCATAATTACTATTTTAGTCCCACAGATATTGATCCTTTAATTACTTCTTAAAGTAATTAAAAATTTCTTGATTGTACATGGACAGTTTATAATTCCTTCATATAGTCTCACTACATTACAATGTTATTATATTCTATAATATTAATAAATTTGGATAATTTCAGATACAAACATTTTGAAAAAACATACTTACCTCCAGCATCTAAAATCCTTTCTCCCATACTACTCCTGTGAATCAAAAAAAAAAATTATATACTAGACTAGTATCAATAAAATAGAAATGCCATATGTTTGAGGGAAAAAAACTTCACTACAGTTTACAATCGGCTAGTATCACAGACTTTGGTAGAAAACATATGCATAAATGATACTAGAAACCTACAATAGTTTATCAGTTTTAATTATTAATGCAATTCATGGTTGCTTTATTTGCCTTATAAAACATCCTTTTAGTTCCTGACTTGAATTAATTAAAGCAATATAGTAAAAATTATTACATGAGAATTAACATTTCTTGGTTACAGAGTATTTTTCCAGCATCTTGAGGCATTTTGTCAAGCATAGCATTCATTTTTTTTAGAGTCTGGAAAAGAAAAAAAGATAATTCATTAACTGTTTATATTCAGTGAAACATTAAATACAGATAAACTTAGAAGCTTATTTTTTCTTAATCACAGCATTTTATGCAGGGCATGGAGAAGGATAAAGAATATAAAGTCAAAAATAGTACAAGAAAACATAAAACACAGGTATCAAAAATAGAATATACTTGTAGCAGGTATACTCTTTGCAGCATGACATGTGTTTATTATTATTACTCTATTATAAGAACTAAGGAACCAAAAAATATTACCCTATTAATATCTGTTCTTATAGTTACATACATGTACACACATATATACACTAATACAGGTTGTTTTTAGCATTTAAATACTCAAGAACTCCTAATAGCTAAATGGAATAGTTTATTTTCATATGAGCTATATGTATACATGGTTATGAATTTTCAATACATATTTAGGTAATACATTCATCATGTCAGACAATAAACTGTTAAGACAATAGAAATACACTACATGTAATTTGGTGACAAGATAAAATAATTATTTAATTTGATGAATTGCTACCAAATTTTCATCACTTTCTTATTTTTCGGTTTTAAAAGAAAATCTAAAAAATGACTTTACCTCCTGCTGAATACAAATAGTCACTCTTGAGTCAATAACCAGGGCACAAATTCGAGGTACGAAACTTTCCACTATTTGCCTTTTACCTGAATAAAAGTGTTAAATTATTGACAAATGTATATTTTAAACTCATTTAAATGACAGTTTTTTCTTATATAAGTTACTGGGAAGGATGTACTAGTTCAGTTCAGAAGAGGGCTCACTGACTGGCCTGGGTACCAGGAAGCATGAAATTCAGTCCTGGTTCTGCCAAGAACTAGCTACGTAAAACTTTGAAAAAACACCATTAAACAGATGTAACCGATCTCAACTCTCTGGCAAAGGAATAACCACAGATCCAGCGTCTCCTTTTAGGCATATAAAGCAGTATTACTTTCTTGGATGAAACAAATACAATTCAAAACTAGAAACTTCTACTGTGAGGTTTTTACAAAACTTGGCCTCAGTAATTTATGGTCATACCTCGAAAATTCCATAGTAGCCCTTAAGTTAACCTCTCAACTGTATGAAGCTCTAACTATCTTGACCTATTTCTAAAATTTGACCCTATTCTCTGAAAGACAAGGCTTTATTAATACTAAATATATTCAAAGGAATTTGCCACAAGCTAATTCATGATGCAAATTTCAAAAATAATTTTAAATAATGGCAACATTGCAATAGAAAATATACTTTACAAAGTGAATATATTAAAAGAAAAAAATCACTGAATCAGGTGAAAAGATAGTGATTTACTTAAAAAAGAAACAAGTGGATCACTTTATAATCATTGGTGCTTTTTAGAACTGTTTTTTTCCCCTAAAAACTTAAGAACTTAGATTTAATTGTTATATTAATTGCAAAGAAACCAATGAAAATGTAGCATTAACTACAACTGAAATAGACAGCAAGTGATCTTTAAAAACATTTTGGCTTTGAAGGCAGCAACAGCTGTTCCTTTATTTATAAACAATTCACCAGCTATCAATCCTAAGTAATTCTTCCTCAGCTAACACAGAGATAAGCTAACTAGAATTGTTTGGCACAGGGCACTGCCAAGCACAAGCGAAATGATGAGTTGAAACATCTTCTGTATTCTCAGTGTACTATTGAAAATTTTGTTTGATTAGATCAAGGATTGACAAACTACAGCCTACAACCCAAATCCACAGCCCCTTTTTGTATGGCTGTATTGTTCATCAGCAGGTACTCCATGGAAACATTTGAATCTATCATGTTTTATTGAACCAGTAGTCTCAGGTGAATTTCATTCATTCTTATGAACTTAGCTATCATCAGTGACTGGCGAAAGGCTTTGGTAATTAGCTTGGGCTGCAGAATTGATAGTTTCTTGGTAAATTTAACCCCAAGGTACAAGGCAAAATAGTGCTTATATGAGAAACTCACACTTGAGTAAAGTCATTTCAATGAAACTAAAGTTATCTGAATCACAGGCAATGTCTAGCTGTTTTATACATTTCCTGGGCTGTCAAAAGCTAAGAGAAGTGACATCTCCATTCCCACAAAAATGCATAGGGGATATATTTTTTCCAAGCTCCAACTACAGATCCAGAAAGATTTTTGCATGGTTAATGTAAGTGCAAAGGAAATTTCCATATTTCAAAATCCGTTTAACTGTGCAATTGAGGAGCTTCCACCTAACCTTCAACTGAAAGTGATTAATCTGCAATGCAGTAACATTCTAATAGGCAAATATTAAGAAAAAAGTCTAATATAATTCTATAAATGCTTTACAAGTGATGAATATGCTCAGTTAAATATCAAGCTCATGAACTGATATCTGTATTAGGCATTATCTGTATGAAAAGACATTTTCTAATGCAATATACATAACTTATTACAGATAAGCATGAACAAATGACTGCAACCAAGTTTTATAACAGCAAACACTAACTTTAATTGAAATGTCCTTGCCTCAAAAAAAGAGTGCTAATTCTCATTAGTAGTCCTGTATTACAAAAACACTACTCAATTATTATCATACTTTGAATTGCATCAATAAAACACTTGTGGAAATTTGTTTTCCTTCTTATTATACAAGTACCTACATAATACCCTCATTTTTTTCTTGGCCCACAAAGCCTAACATATTGACTGTCTGACCCTTTACAGAAAAAGTTTGTCAATCCCTGAATTAGATAACAAATTCCTAATATTAGAACAATACTATGAGAATTGCAAAATTACAGCAAAATGCTAACGGCAAATTATTGTTTCAACAGAAATAAAATGTTTATTATACCTTCATCATCAGTGTCATGTATCACCTAAAAAGAAAGTGAATAATATTTAATTTAAAATTTACTGTCTTATAAACTATCTTACATTATAAAATAATACTAAAATGACAGATTACACTTGAACTCACCACATAATTATTTAACTTTAATGTAGTAACTAATTAATTTATCAGGATAAGCGCACTAACCAATCTGTTAGTGACTTTTAGGCTTGGGGCATATATGACACAAATTGTTTTTAAATAAGCACATGCTTTGTAATATTGGTGAATCAATGTAACTGTTACCATCAAAAGATCAAATAAATCTTCTATCATATTTATAATGGCTTCATCTTTTGAATTTCCTTGACTCAGAATAATTTTCTTGGATTTTTCAAACCAGGCCACCATGTAAAAAAAAGAAATGTATACATTGGTTACTTTGAATTTAATTTCAATAACTTTAAGAATGCACACTTATACAAACAGTAAATCTAAGAGTAAAGAAATATCAAAAATAAAAATTCCAGTATTGTATCAAAATACATCCATGCTCTTAAACATTATTGTTTTTGTTTTTTGGTAACTCACTACATGTTCCCATTTTTTAAATGGGAATGGATGAAGTTAATCCTAATTCCAATTAGAAGATCTTTATTTCCTCCCTTCAAATTCTTAGTTCATGCATATTCATATAATAGATAAAAAATAAAGTATCATCATACATAAATTTATTTTGGCATTGTCACTACTTGAAAAGTTTTGGTATTATTTTAATTTTATTAATTTACTCAGATGTTCGCATACATACTGTCTTAAGCACTGTTCTTGGTGCTCAGTATAAACCAATGAACAAAACAAACAAAAATCAATATCGTACATTCTAACACGGAAAACAGACAATAAACAATATAAAAAGAAAAGTAAAGTTAGATAGTGATTAAGATGAGCTAAAGAGAAAATAAAGCAAGTAAAGGCTTAGGAAGTCTTGTGACCTTAAATTTATTTGATTATCAAGGAACCTCTATACAGTTTCCTTGTACCACAAGTTATAAAAATATTTTATCTCAAAATTTTATATACAACTCCCCAATTTATTTTTCAACAGTTTGAACCATTTATTTTATTAGAAAGTACATCCTTAATCGTATTTCCCTCACATGAATATGTTACATTATCTAGACTTATCTTTTGGACTAGTCCTTGTTTTATCATAGTCAGAAGTCCAGCTTGCCCCAATATACTGATATTTTTGCCACATCTTCCAAAAGAAACCAAAATGGTTGAAACAGCTTGGATATTCTTTTTATTAAGCTCCTGAAATGAAAATTATACATTTAAACATCTGTAAATACAAAATAGAATGGAATTGGCATTCTGCTTAATTAGGAGCTTTAAAATCCTCACAAATCCTAAATATTAGCCATTATCACAATCATAATCTCCACATTGCAAAAGACAAAAGTGTGGTTTAAAAAAGGCAACTTGCCTATAACCATGCAGCCAGGGAATGATAAACCCAGTACAAAAATGCAGACATGTATTAATTCAAGAAACTTTAGACTATGATACAATGAATTCATTACCTTCCATTCTAAAAAGCTCTAACTGTATCTAACTGAGGGATAAAAGAAATTTTTACTCACTCTTTTAGATTAGTAACAAATGGTCAGATTCCGGGGGAGATTGTCAATAATCACTTTCTCTCACATGTAAGAATACCTTATGCATGATAAAGCAAGTCCAATGTTTTGGATGATTTTTGTTATATTTTTGCAAACACCAAGCATTGTCAATACAATATGAATACGCTGATAGGGTTTTCAAAACATAGATCAAGTTGTTCAAACTTCAAAAAGGTAATAAGCTATTTTTCCCCAGTTTAGGTAACAGTTAATCATTGTAACACTATCTAAACAGTTTTTTATATATTTTATTTAGAAAACAACATCCAAAATGTTATTCAGGACTCCTCAAACACATACAAAAAAGCAAGTGGTGAAACAAGCATGTATTTATACAATTATAAGTGAATTTGCTGAAGTCTTTTTATTCATTTCTTCCAATGGAGTATCTCTTCCTAGAAAGTAGAGTGCTATCTAATAACTGTAACAAACATTCAATAAAAGTGAATATTTACCCTGCACATAAGGTCATCCAACTTGTGGAAAAACTGTTTGCTGCATTTGATCTTCACATCTTCACAAATATCAATTTGTAAAAGTGTTTTCAAAGGTTTGAAATCATTTTTTCTTAAAGCATCATCAATGCATTTTTCCAACTGCTGGAGAAATATAGTTAATGGCACATATGTTGAATCAAAACCACAATTGGTCACCTTACTGCAATCTGGTAATTTAAGAATTGTTTTCACATGAAAATTCTCAAAAGCACTTATAAAATATCAATTCATTTATATAAAACCCTGCCCACTATTAAATTTGGAGTAATACAATTAGATATTAAGTTTCTCCAATAGTAAGACTTTACATAGAAAAAATATATATTTTACTAAATTTCCCCTTCATATCTTTTATTTGAAAGTCATCATGTTAAACTCAACAAAAACCTGTTAATGAAGGAAATAAAATCAACTTTATAGTAACTAATAATTAATATCATGGATAAAACCCTAATATACCTATCAACTTCTTCATGATGTAACAGAGACACAGAGAACAAACATGCTTACCAGAGGGTAAAGAGGGTGAGAGGGGATAAATTGCGAATTTGAAAATTGCACCTCTTGGGGAGTGATGGAAATGTTAGCTATCTTGATTGTGCTGGTGGTTTCATGGGTGTAAACATCTACCAAAACTCATCAAATTGTACTTCTGAAATATGTGTAGTTTACTGTAAGGAACCATACCACAGTAAAGGTGTTTACAAAAAAAAGAAGTATCCACTAATGATGACAATGTTGATAAGCACACTTCAAGAAAAAAAAATTCATTAAGATAGGTAAAAGCACTTTGTTACAAACTATACCAACTAATATAACTTAAGTATTACATACATATATAATTATTATATTCTATATTTATAAGCTTTACAAAATCTGCCATTCCTGCTTTTAAAGTATAACACCATTAATAAGGAATTTTCATACAATAATCTGATCACCAGACTTGGTGGTGAAGTGTACACACGTTAAATAGCTATATTAAAACTTACTCTTTACCTAAGTGCAAGCATCTTACAATTTTAAACCTTGATATAAAAGTATGTAGACGTAAGTTATACATAAATCAGTGTATAATTCATTTCAGTGTAAAAAGTATATTTAATCTTTAATACTTTATGTTCTTAATAAAGCTTTTGAAAACAAATCTACAGAAAAAGTGAAAAAATAACCTTTTATTTGAATTATTCTACTCAAATAAAAACAAGTTTTGTCTTTCCTAAATCTATAGCACTTAATACCTATAAATAAACAAGAAGTGATTTTAGGAATTAAAATACTTCCTTTTGTTCTAGGACTACATACCTGGAGATCTGGTCTTATTGGCATTTTGAATTAATTTTAAAACAGCTGGACAAAAGAAACACCTATAAAAGAAAACATATGCTTTCTGTATCTTATTCTATTTTATATGTTTACAGTTTAAAAACCTTAACATACATAAATAAGCACTGCTGATTATACCAAAGGCAATAAATATCATTTCTTCAAGTTCACTATTATTTATGAAATTACTCATTTGAGTCTGTCCAAAGAAGTTTCTGGAGGAAAGTCTGAAGATCATTTATTCAAGCCTTCTCTTTTTATACAGATTACTTAAATAAATGTCAAAGTCTTGCCAAAAGGTCACAATTCTAGTTAGTGAAAGAATACAAATGTGGATCTCCTATGTCAGAGATTCCTGGTATATCTGTTCCAACTTTGGGAACAAGAAGAAAAATAATCTTGAATTAATGTCTAAATGAAATTTACGTTAGCAATACGATATTTAAGAAGGGAAGAATATGCAAGTATATTACCAAAGAACAGGATTTTTTAAAACGTATAAATACATAATGAAAGAAGTGAGGGAAAGATAACCTAAGTACATTTTCCCTCCAAAGGAGAATGGAAACAGAAAACAAAAGGGTTATGTTAAGCACCATCTACCATCATAACAAAAGCATCTAACATTTCCAAGTGCAATTTGGAGGTTAGCCCTATAAAGTAAACAAACAAAAACAATGTTTTCTATATATAAGACTAGAACAACTAAAATAATCTGTTCTATGAAGAACTTTGTAATAGAATCACAGGAAATTCAATATAGAAAGATAATTAATTAATTCAAAAAGGATACAGGACTGTGTATCTGTAGAGCAACAGGAGGCACTAGTCACAGTCTACTTTTTTGCAGATGTGACAGTAGAGAAATGTAAGTGTCAATGAGGACACACATAAAAGGCATATAAAAGGCATGAGTAAAAAAATCTGCATTTCCAAAGATAACTCTACAGGAAAAAAAAATCTGAAATCCAGACAAACATTTGCTCCATGTGCATAAGAAGCCAAGTTTAAAGATTCTTCTGCAGCACTGTTCTGAGTGAGAAAATTCACAAGCACCCAGATGGGAGTTGGGAATAGGAGGGAGGGCAAGGAATGAATAAATAAAATGTGGTATATAATAATCAATTTCATGAACATAACAGGCAAATAAAATGAACCAGCATTTTAGATGTCTGCAGCCAGCTTTAAGTGGTTAAAAACATGTTACCAAATGATACAGTGTAATGCTATTTATGTGAAGAAAAAAAAACTCTGTATCATGTATGATCATCTAAGTGCATGTAGGTATAGACACATTTGTACATCTGTGTGTATGCTGAGAGACATTTACCTGTACCCCTTAGGATAGCTGCAGTGTTTTTCAGTTTATTGGGGAGGAAGAGTAGAGTTGCACAGACTATAATTGACTATTTGTCAGAAGGAAACTTCAGTTTTATTTGAAATGTATACATATTTAACGTTTTTTAAAGTACAGTAAATTCTTGCCAAAATGCAGGTAGGTGGGGTCCAAAACTTGGGATCAATAAAATGTGGGTTTGGATTACTGTGAGGGAAATGAAATGACCAAGGGCCAGCCTTTGCAGTGAAGCAGCCAGGAGTTCAGCTGCTTCATCCGAATCTGTCCAGAGCCTAGCTGTGGTTTTACCCCCTCTGGTTCTGTTTGTCTGTTCTGGCTTAAATATTAAGCAGGTGCTTCTAGGTTTGTAGCTAGCTGGAATTCCAGAATACCAGCAATGATTCCAAGATCTCTAAAGAGTTGGTAGTTGTTTTGTCATTTTGCCTGGAAAATATTGGAACACAGGGATTGACCATTTGCCTCCCCAATTCCTATGAAGGGATGTGTCTTTTTTCTACTTGACTTCACTCTTTCATTCTCTCAAGGCCATCACAAAAGACAGAAATTTAGCCTGTATTATCTCAGTTATGGAGGTAAGAAATAAGTATCACAGGCAAGCAACCAATAGGGGGATTAAAGAGGAACGTAAGATGAACAATGTAGATTAGAGAACCCTGAGCATCCACCACTGCCACTATCATCATAGGCTGAAAGCTTTAGGAGGGAACATTTTTGGCTGTCTTCAGGAGGAAACATTCCTTAGGATAGAAAGACAAGGTTGAGAATAACACAGAATATCACAAAGGAAGAAAATGATAAAATGTATAGAAGGAAGAAGTTGAGATATGAAGAAGAGATGCACACATTCCCATATCTACTCAATAAGAATTCCAAAAAAATTTAAAAAATAAAAAAGAGCAGTGAGACAGCAATAGTTGAATAACAGCCAAGAAATTTCCCAAAATTAATATAAATATCCACAAACTGAAAGAGTCCATTGAATTCCAAGGAAAATAAATAAGAAAAATTACATCTAAACAAATTGTGAGGACATTTCTGAGTAAGAATAAAAGAAAATCTTAAGTTACCAGAGAAAAAACAAAACACAATGCATGCAAAAGAATAAACATAATAGATACTCTGTTCTCACAATGCAATAAATTAAGCAATCAGCTACAAAAGTAGCTTCAAACTTCCTACATATTTGGAAACTAAAACACATACATTTGAATAGTCCATAGGATATAAAAAGATAGAAATGATAAAATATTTAAGTGAATAAGAAAATGTATACATGTAAAAACCTTCAGGCGGAAACCAAATCAATACATGAAGTGCAATTCACAGACATGGATAAATTAATTAAAGGTAAAAAACAGAACTAGCCAAAAGAAACAGACCCACAGGACCTCCAGATGGTAGTTATTAGACAAAAACTTCAAAATAACTATGAGTGCTGTGTACACAGTGACTATAAAACAAAAGTGAGAATTGTGGCAAAGAACTGGAAACTGGGGGCAGGGAGGAGCGGTAAGGAAGGCCAGAGAAAATCTGAAAAAGGACCAATATTAAAAACAAAAATAGTCAATAACAAGATTATTAAGAAAGAATAAAATGGATGGATTTAATAGCAGATTAGACACAGATGAAGCAAAAGTTACAGAAGTGGAAGTGGTAGCAGAAGAAAATACCCAGAATGCACTAGAGACAAAAATAATGGCGGGGGTGAGGTGGATCAGACGACAGATCGAAAACACAGAGGATAAATTATGAAGCCCTATGTATGTGCAACTGGAATCCCAGGAGAGGAGATAGTGAGTGTGGCAGAAGCAATACCTAAGGAATCAAGACTGAGAATTTCCTAAAACCAGCAATATACATTTAACAATACATTCAAAAGGCCTTACAAACCCTAGCAGGGGGAGAAAATCCCAAAACCCTGGTGCACCACAGAAAGCTGCTAAAAATCAAAGGCAAAAATATTTAAAGTTGTCAGAGATTAAAAAAAGACATTATTTTTAAGTAGCATCAATAAGACTAATGGCTGACCAACAGAAACTATGAAAGCCAAAAGACTCAGAATAATAACTCCTTTAAAGTTCTTTAAAATTGGACATTAGACCAATGAACCTAAGAGACATATACAAAACCTTCCATACAACAGGAGCAGAACACACATTCTTTTCAAGAGTATAAAGAATATTCTCCAGGATAGATCATATGTTAGGACACAAAACAAGTCTTAATAAATTTAAGAAGACTGAAATCATATCAAGCATCTTTTCTGACCACAAACTGGACAACCTAGAAGAAACAGAACCTAGAAGAAACATACAACCTATAAAGATTGAATCATGAAGAAACAGAAAATTTGAACAGACCAGTTACTAGTAAGGAGATTGAACCAGTAATCAAAAATCTCCCAAGAAAAGTTCAGGACCAGATGGCTGCACTGGTGAATTTTACCAAATATTTAAAGAATAACTGACACCAATCCTCAAACTATTCCAAAAAATAGAAGAGAAAGGAGCATTTCCAAACTCATTTTCATAAGCTAACCTTACTCTGATACCAAAGCCAGAAAAAGAACACTATGAGGAAAGAAACTAGAACATGCTAGCAGGGGGGAGAGGGGGTACTGCAAGCTAGAATTTTACAACCGATAAAAATACTATTTAAAAATAAAAGGAAGAATCATCTTATTTGTTGTTAAAACACACCACAAAAGTCACAATTATTTAAAAAACAGTATTAAAATAGGAAATAGACAAATGGATCAATAAACAGAATCCAAATGCACACCCAAGCATATATTTGAAGTTCTTTTATGAGTAAGAATGTTTTGCAAATCAGAGGGGGAAATGTAAATTAGTCAATAAATGCCCAAAATGGCACTGGGAGATTGACTCACCATGTTAAAAAATAAAATCAGGCTCCTTGTTTCCTCCTATTTACAAAATAAACTCTAGTGAATTAACTACCTAATGTAAAATAAAATGTTTTAAAACTATTAGAAGGAAACACAGGAGGATATCTCTATGACTTTGCAATACTAAAAGATTTAAAATATAAAAAGAACAAAGCATAAAATATAAATAAGAATTTTTTGTACATCATTGCCTGTGTGTGTCTCTTACACACACCCATGCATAATTTCACATACAAAAAAATTGGGACTCTCCATTCACTCAGAATCCAGTACTCAGTACTGGCCCAGCAAGTCCGATAACCATGAACACATTCATTCTCATAACTCACAAGCTTCAAGTTCGAGAGAAATATTTCCCTTGCCTATGCCTTTGAAAGAAGGGGACTGCAATTAATGACATTATTCTGTTTATTTTGTATGTTAGAAATCTTCCATAATAGGGGAAGGGTATAGCTCAGTGGTAGAGTGTGTGCTTAGCATGCACAAGGTCCTGGGTTCAATCCCCAGTACCTCTATTAAATGAATGAAGAAATAAACAAACCTAATTACCTCCCCCCAAAATAAATAATTAATTTTTTAAAAAGAAATCTTCTATAATAGCAATAATAATTTTAAAGGACTCAGGTGGGAGGCTGAAACAATGCAGATAAGATTGTAGGTTGTGCTGATACTGACATTTTAGTCTCTGCTTGGGAATGGAAGCAGAATTGAGCAACCAAAATACTCAGGTAAGAGAAAAGACATTAGTTAACTGTCGATTTCTTCCCCTGGCAGAACAAAAATACAGTTGATTCTTGCGTAATGAAAAATTGCTTCCTAAGAAATGTCGCTTGCTTCCCTTTGTATTTCAACTTGTGGCTCTGGAAGTACTAGCTTAGTGCACAATATTTGCAACAACTGTTCACAGTGACCGAGAAACATTTTGTAGTTCTAAGCAGTTCCTATTGTTCTTTAATTTGCATATATGTAAATCTAGACAACCGCATGAACATGATATAGACTATTTACAGTTAGATAGCAAGCAAATACTGGAACAGTGACTAAGTTTATTTTTATAAAAATATTTAATAAGATTGTTATTCAAAAATTAATTTCACTGTTATTAGAACAATTTTACTTAGATTAACATTTATTAATAATTTGTATCTTATCTTAATTTTAAGAGAATTTAAATATTTCAGAAAACATTGAAGAAAAAATACTTTTTTATACTTATGTTTTTGGTGAGTATATTTTGAACAAAATTACATGTAGTTTTAATCCTTCAATTCTACTGTCATTAGAACACAAAAGTAAAAATCTTGATTACCTTTACTGATTTTGCTAACATGAAAAAAGTTTATGAAATATGTACTAATTTATGAATTACATAGGTCCTTGTTACTTATCCAAAATTCACCAATCCATCACCATCATCAAATATCCATAATAAACGCATTCAGTTATCCTTGAAATGTTGTTAACACTCAGTCATAAACATAATAGCTTTACATATATTTTTCTATTTTGTTGCAATGAAGGTATCTGTGTGAAATTGAAGACTAGAACATTTTATTTAACAATTTGAAAGCTTTATTTAAAAGTATAAGAACTTAAAATATTTTAGGGACCTCTACTTGTACTTTTTCCGTACGGTCAGCAACTGTTGGGGTGGGCCTGCTTACATTATGGTTTCCTGCATGACAACTAAAACAATTTGAATTTAAAACGTAATCTACAAAGTACTCTGAGACATGAAATACAGCACAGAGGAATTACTTACGGCCAAGAGGAATCTAAAGCTAACAATATGGTTTCCTAGTCGACTTTTGTGCAAGCAGTCAAGGAAAAGGAAAATTAATCAGTACCTACACGGGTAGATTTTTTAACGTAAGGAAACCAACCAAACTTAGCAATCTAGTGACTCTTCGCTCTCTGCCAAAGCTGAATACATACTGTCTTTAATAGAGCCAAATGTTTAGTAGTAGCCATTAAAGACAACCATTTGCAACTTTAAGAGAAGGCGAAGCCTGCACGGGAACAGAAGCTACACACGCATCCTTCCACTATCACGTGTAAACAATTTAAAATATCTTTATGAAGTTCTGTGAGCTACAACCAGGAACAACAGAACCAGCTAGGAAACCTAGCATTCAATAATTTCTCAACAAGACTCTGTCTGCTGCAGGGCGGGAGCGAGGCGGGGTGTCAAAGGAGCAGGCTTTGAGCCCTGGCCTACTTACAGGCAAAACAGAAGAAAACTAGAGAGAAAGAGACCGTGTACCCGCGGGCAGGTGAAAGGATTAAGGTTTAAAAGACACCGAACAACCTCACAGAGAAGGAATGCAACGGCAGCCCGGCAGCACGCAGACATCCAGCAGCTCCAGCGCCGCTCGGGGTTAACCGGGAGCGGCGGGAGAAGCCCCTCTTCTCCCACCGCCGCTACGGCGCCGACGCGCCACTTCGCAGGACGCCACCCACGACCCTGAGCGCACAGACCCGTCTCGTTCTTCTTCCCGTGCGGTGACGTGGGGCCTCGGGGGCCCCAGACACGGGGGTCTTGGAGAGCACTCGCGGGGAAGGACGGCAGCGCAGGGGCCGGG